ATTTACACGTGTTACACCCAAATGGAGATTCTTTCGTAAGATACAGTATGCGAAAAGGAAGATGTGCGTCCTGGAAATAGTTTATGACATTGGCAAAACTGAGAGTTGGGGCTAGAGACAATTTTCCATTTCCATTTTTTTACTCAATTTACATTGTGAAAAAGAAAGACACAAGATATGAATTAGAATATTTATATATTATATTAGAATATATTGTACTCTATTAGAATAGAATATACTTTGTTGATCCCCAAGGAGAAATTGCTTATTAGTTGAAAAGCTACTCGATCCACAGTGTTAAATATTAATACAAATACAACCATAAGCGATAGATTTACCTACATACACATGCACACACATACACATATATCTTGAGCTAATCTGAAGACAACATGAAGTCTGTAGGTCTGCAGTGATTGACTCTGCAGAAAGTTAATGACCTCTGTGCACCATGTGCTTCAGCGTCCACTGACCACTCTGTCAGTTTACATGACCTATCACTTGGTGGCTGAGTTGCTGTCCTTCCTAAACATTTCAATTTTCTTTTGATACAGTGAGAGTTGAATGTGGAATATTTAGAAGCGAGGAAATTTCACAACTGGATTTGTTGCACCAGTGGCATCCTATCATAGTTCCATACTGGAATTCACTGTCTATTGATATTACATCTGATTGTAGATACATGCTCATGTATCTCAGACGCTGACAGAGAGGTCTGCAACTCTCTGGAGGTGATGCGTGGGTTTGTCTTTAACTGCATTATTATTTCTCTGGTGCTTCTTTGTGTTAGTTTTGATGGCCATCCACTTCAACTGAGTCTTTTACCTAATTAACTTAACTGGTGCAGCTGTGGTTCATTTACTTTTGCAGATGCTCTGATTCCATGTTTCATGTAGTCTGCTGCTTGCAACTCACACATTTCCCTTGAAACAAGTAAATGGTGTCAATAAATAAACCCAACATTTCATATGCAAAAACTGGTGATGATAAAATAAGAGAATTTTGGTAAAACAAAAGAAAAATCTAAACTACTCAACTAGTTCATAAATTTTCAAGCAGCACTGTATGTATATATATTTGTATATATATTTTATATATATTATATATATTTTACACTCACTGTATCACTAAAATCAATCAGTCTGGTAAGGTTTTTAGCAACCATGAGTCAACAACGGGGCACCCTACTATATAACTGTAGCCGGGGCATATTGTCACCTGACTGTCTGCTGCAGCGCTTTCTTTGTCTTGTCCATATATGGAAGATGCTGTGACAGAGTGCAGCTGGCTTGTTAAGGAGACAGGGAATTTATATTTAAAAGCGGGAAGAGATCAGATGCAGGCTGATGACTTGTGCAAAGGTATGTTTAACATTGATCGGGAAGTGAGTTTAGAATTTATGTCTGATTCTGCCACTGATTGTTGTAGGAAATGCAATTTAGAGAGTGATGTCATTTACTGGTTTCACTTTAGAGAAGGTAAGGGTTTCTTATGATTTATCTGGCTGGTTAATGTTCTTGTCTAACTTGATTTCTTTTGTGTGTAGGTTGGCCTGCTACTGAAACGGTAGCAGTTTCGATTTCAATTTTTTGTTTCAGTTTACTTATTTTTAGATGGTTGTTGTTGATTAAGAACTTTTCTTTTTTTGGGTTTTGTTTAGTAGAAAGGAACTTTCTACTGTAGCCCTCTGGCTTGTTTTAAACTGGGACTTATGCTGTCCCTGGGTCCTAGGCTGTTTTTATTCAGACTGAGGAGACTAGTGGAAGGGGAGTTTTTTTTTCTTTTCCTTTGTATTCACTAGGGATTTTTGTGTGAGTGTGCTTTTGTTGGGGAACACTTAGGTGTATTTAGTTGTATTTGTGTTTTCTTTATTATTCCTCCCCCAAACAGCCAAATTTTTATCTAATTGGGTTTTAATTATTTTTCAGCTTTAAGGATCCCAGGGCCAGCATAGACTTCCATTTTAGTGTGGTCACTTGGTATAATAAAATAAATTGACTATTTTTGCTCATGAAACATTTGTGAATTCAATAAACTGTATCTGCAGCAGTGCCTCTGTCCATTTTTGCAAACATATCTGTGTGATCTGGTAAAGAGGATCTAAAGCTGTACCCAAGGTCACGTAACCTACTGTGGTATGGTACACAAGTTTCAATAGGAGAGGCCTCTCCCTTTATAGATTTATCAGATGTGATAA